CATGAAAGGACAGTCAGCTCTCTCCGTGTCTCTATGAACCACATAGAAATGATCCCTGCTTGCCACGCTCACGAAAGTAGCTGTAGAAGACGGCCCATAGTGGTAGCAATCCTGAAACTATTTTTATTGACCTAATTCCTATTGAACCACCTTAGATTTCACTTTCACTTTAGTAATCTCAGAATCAATTGTCCTAGTCACCCCCATGACGTCGAAATGCATTTTCCGAGCAACGCGTGGGCTCTTCGTCGGAGCTTACAAAGCCAATTTTGAGTGCAGTTTTTCTCCCAACCACTGTATCAATGGAGGATTGCTGGGTAAGCTGAAGGTCGAAGAAAGAGTATACTAGATTATGAATTGGGAAGATGGTGGCTGCCCATGATGATGTGGACCGAGACGCAATTTGCAGCGAACGATGTGGCCCCGGCGATGACCCTTGCAGCGCTACCGCGCGGCATGCCCTGGCTAACCATTCGCGGCAAAGCCTCTGGGCCGCTCAGCAGAGAGAGAGAGCGTTAGTGTTGAGGAGGGCAGCATCGATGAGAGTTGCATCAAGGCGGAAATCAACGGACAAAAGAGGGATTACTTTCTTCTCAGGTCCTGGCTAGTTTTTCGTCGTTGGCACTATTCACTTCTTCTACATTGATTCTATTGGGTTGTCTCTTAAAGTCCAAGATTTTTACTAGTTACATCTCTTACACTAAGTTGCTTCAAACACACTGATTCTAAGGCACTGCAGATAAAAGCTAAGCGGCTGAAGCGAAAGCGGTAAGGAGAGAGGGAAAAGAGATAAATGAAGAGTACTGAAGCAAACCCCTGTTTGAATGTCGCGCTCTAATTCAGTCAGAAAATGCAACACTATTTGAAGTTATTGACTATCAATGAATTGCTGGGCTTACCCAATGTATTATCTATCCTCCAGACAAAGTCTCTAATCAATGAACATTGCTTCGAAGTGGTGAAAGACTTCAGTGGCATCCTGGACCGCACCCGACCAGTGATTCTTAACGCGTTTATGCCTTAACAATGCTATCCTCCTGGGTCATTTTTCATCTTTATTATAGCATCTTTCTTCATTGGATTTCGTGATTTTCGTCGGACAGCCTTTGATAGACCCTCCCGAGTGCATCTAACCACTCCATTTGCGGTCTTTATCTAGCAAATAGCAAAAAAAATTACAATTATTTTCCCAGAAAGCCTTCCTAATCACGATTAAGGTGATTTTTTATTTAATTGTTTCTTATTCTTTTTCTATTTACTCTCTTATTTTCAAAGCTTCATAATATGGCATTAATTAAGAGAAACGCTATAAACAGAATACGGTTACCTACCCAACCACAATAAGCGGCAGCACAGTTATCGTCTTCGACGCACTTTTGCACACATCCTGCGCAATTCGTAGAAACTTTCCACCATGATGAATTCACTTTATGGTATGTGGAGAACTGGTAGGCCATGATAGAGCAGGGCAAGACAGTAGGTGGCTAGAACGGAAGACTTCAATCATTGCAACAACGGGAAATTTCCCTGTGGAAATCGTATGAAAATAATTGTTTGTTTAGCATCTGCGAATTTGTTCGGATTGCGCTAAGACAAAATCAAATCACCTGCGTTGCTATGGTATGGTAGCAAATAGCCCAACCCAATGATAAGCTAGGCTTGAGTGACCAAATTGGGGACAACTAGCCAACGCTGGCTATCATCCCTAACGTGTAAGGCCGCTAAGTTTGTCAATGTGTACTCTTTATGACCGCCACGAAATTCGGTGTTACCTGGAGACCAAATCGCAGAGTCCGGATCATGTTCGGGACATGGAACAAGAAGTAGAAAACACTCTTCGTGGGCGTTAACTAAAGAAGCAGTGCCCAATAAAAAAAATCATAACCCTTTCAGGAGAAAGCCCATGGGGCAGGTTGAGGGGAAAAATGTGGTGTGACCAGCATACCCCAACTTGGCGGTAGCCTGCCTACAGTAGGTGGACCGTGCCTTTGAGTGTCCTGTGTTCGTTAACTACTCATAATTCGGTCCAATAGCCTCCTTAAACCGGTGAAAAGTGGGTTTGAATGAAGGTTAGGAAAGAAGGTAAGCTTGAAGGCTGATGGCGAGCGCGGCGTGTCCTGAAGTAGGTGCAGTTTCCCACAGAACACTGTGGTTAGCTTTCGAGAGCCCAGGGATAAGGAAAAATGTTGGTTGGCGAAGGGAGGAGAATTAAATGCCATCGGTGGGTGGAGCGTGCACTGCGGTGGGCGGGGTTTGTTAGCAAGCATTATAAAAATATCGATGGCCCTGTTTCATGTCACTGCAGTCTCGTGTGATGCGTGTCTGCAAACTGATGAATAATAAGTACGAACGTTCCAGCTCGCTTCGGGCTAGTTTTGTGATTACACGGGCTTGTTACTTCACCTTCACCCTTCTTACTGCAAGATGAGACGTAGTGGATCACTCGGTTGGTCAGAATTTGACTGCTTAAAAGGTTTTCGTGCTATCTCAATGAATTTTACCATTTGTTGGGTAGCTGAGTTTCATTTTTATGCAAAGCACATAGTTAAATGAGATGGCTGTAATGCATGTGTATGCGTAAGTGCTGCTAAATCTATTTAAAAATGATACCTGAGAAACGAGCAGAATAAGGACTGCTGCAACGCGGTACATGGCGGAAAACGATTACCCTAAAATAGCCCGTTTAAAAACAATCCACGGCTTGTACTGAGGAGCTCTGCATCAATGTGATCCAATGTTGATGTAAAATGAGCATGCTTGCATTTGTGAACGTGGGGAAGGGTTTAAGACCCGAAACATCATCACATAAAGCTGTTTGGAGAGTTTCATTAGAACAAAAACAAAAAGAAACTGTGATCTCGGTTTCATGCCCTACCGTTCCTGAAAGGCTATCACGATCGTGGTGTTAACAACATTGCAATATCCTTAATTTTATCGAGGGCCTGAATATACCAAGACGAAACTCAGGAATTTGTAGCTGGCGCGAAAGAGACGGCGTCCTTACTTCCTTAGGGAGTACATAAGTAAGTCTGACCGTAATGAGAATCGTTGGAGGAGGACCTCACCTAGGAGACGTCGTTCACCATTTGGAATTATTACGAGACGTGACAGATCCCACGTCGGTACCGTCCTTCACAAACGTGGAAAACTATTTTTGACTAATTATCCGTCACATCGCATTCAATAATAGGTCCGCTTCATCATCTCAAACAGCATTCCTCTTGAGAGCCAGAAGGATCGAAAATCTTCTGAAAAAATACACCGAAATGCGTTCATCTAAAAGCTTGTCATATTTTCGTGCCAAAAAAATCGGAAAACCAATATTTTCATAAGCGTCGGCTCATGCGTGTTAAACTTTTTTAAAGATTCCAGGATCCCCTTTCCATCCAAAGAAGTTTTTATACGCTCCGCAGAATCACCATCAGCCTTTGAGAGCTTATACGGCCCCAATCGTTTCCGGCCATTACCCTCAACGCTGAGGGGGGGGGGGGTAAATATTCTGAGGAAATGGCACACCTCTATTGTCATACTCCTTTAAGGGGTTTTTCGTCAAAATCGTAAAAAAAAAACCGGGAAAAACGAGCCCCCTTCCACAACCACGACCCTCTTCAATTCGCGATGGGATCCGCATTTCGCAACTCATAATCGTCAACTCTGAGTTTCGATCACTTTCAGTATGCAAGAAACGCTCCGTTTGTACTGCATCAACAAATCGTTGATCCTGCACTGCATACGCAAGGGTGGAGACATCTACCAACCCATTTATGCTCTCTATATCAGTGCAGGGCAATCAACGCGTTCAGATGGTTGACAGAGGACCTTCACGGTAAGGTGAGAGGCGCGAAGGATAGGGGTAATGTCACTTCGTCGGCGGCCCTCCAAAGATGATGGACGCGGCACGGGACGGGCAATTTCCAGCGCCAGCACTGTCTCCGTGACCTAACATGCCTCCTCGCAACGTTATGCGATGCGGCACGCCACCGATGCTATCCACTTGGCGCAGGTCTGTAGCCCGTTTTGGCAGCTACGAGCGGCAGCGTTGGTTGAGGGTTCTCACATCGCCGGCAGCTCGTGAGCCGCTCAAATTGTTGGGATCGCTGGCGATTCGCGTGAATCGCTGGGGGTTATTCATAAAGTCTGACACGTGCCCAATACTCGGTTATTTGCACAAAGGCTGGATAAAGCAGGGCATGCTGGAAGCCTCCCATTCAGGTCTCTGAAAACCACTTCAACAATGTTTCTTGCTAGAGGGCACGTGCCTTGGAACAATGATTTGCCTGGTGGCTTCTTTCTGTTACCAACTCTGATTCATTCGGTGCAACAGGGCTGCTGCACTTCTTGTTTACATGCCAATGCGCAACGCTTCGCATTGCCACCAAATGCACATCGTGTTTTTTTTTTGGTGTATGGACTGTCGTTTAAGCCAAAGTCATCGTCATCGTTTCTAGATTTTCGAGAGTTGATCTAATCAAAGGTAGGGGTCACGATGGGGCGTGCTTTGGATGAAGTCATCGAATGTCGTTGATGGACCACCCGCCACGAATCCGCGGGATGGTTTTGGCTCTTACAGCATTCTATCAATGGCGTTCAACGGCGTCATCAAATTCGCACTTCCCTCCAGCTATCGTTATTTCTGCCTTCGAAGCATTCCTATTTTTCACAGCTTTTTTCTCTTCCACAGGTATTCTGGTTGTGTTCACGATTATAATTTTTTCTAAGCTTCATTACAGCCGCGTAAGCACACGCCAAAATTCGATAAGGTCTGAGGCACCCCGTACTTAGAAGCCCAGACCCACTGTTGAGTTGTACCAGAACCTTCTCAGATCAACCGAGGTATCACGAATTGGTTACATGCAGGAGAAGCTGGCAGCACCTCTCACCAAACTGATTGGAGCGTAAGAAATCGGCTTAAGTCGCGGCTTTTCCCTTATCAACACCGAGTCGTCCTCACGCTTCGCTTCGTTTTTCTTCCGACAGGCTCACGTGTTGCTTCTCCAGCCATGTTTCGACCGTGGACACTTCTGCTCCTCGGCTTGAGCTTTGCTTCAGCGGCCGATGTGACCAGACTTGTAGACTGTTATCCTGAGCCTGGGGCTAGTGAGCCGTCGTGCCAGGCAAGAGGCTGCATCTGGCAGCAAGCACCTCCGGTATGTCTTCAGAGAACTTTGAACACCATTTTGACTTTCATGGTATCTCTCGGTTTCAGGACGCTCCAGAAGGTACTCCATGGTGTTTCTATCCTACCGCATCTGGATTCTTAATGATGACTAAGGTTTCTCCCACCAATTACCTATTGACGTCAGGTACTCAGACAATCATTTGCACTCAGAAGATTATGAGTTTAACTATTTTCTTCCAGCCACCAGCAACCCGTATGGCGGCAATATCTCTCCACTGAATGTGTCTACTCAAACTAATGGAGCAACACTCTTCGTGACGATCGGAAACGATGACAGGTAAGGGGGCGATTTGCTTGGCTTTTTATTTTTAAAAACCGGCCTATGTGAATTATGATTTTTCACAATTAAACTCACGTACAGCTTGGTTTGTTCCTTGTTTTACTTGTTCCTTGTTTATCTTACTTCTTTCCATTGAAACTGACACGCACGCAGCGGTAGGTTCATAAAAAGAGCTTTCTGCATGGGTTTTATTACCACCGAGAGTTTTGCGGAATTAGAGTGTCGGCGCATGCACCAAGGGGCTGACCAGCCCGAAACCCATTCATACTTTTCTCTTTCGACAGAACGTGGTTCGAAAATGATCGGACAATTTGTTGTTTTCAAAAACATATTTTAGATATGTGCCTCCTGTGGACTTCCCAAATCTACCTCACAACTTCTACAGAATCGCTCATTTTCAAAACGACTGTCATTCCTGACAGTGATATTTTCGCATTTCAAGTCGTTAGGCAATCCACAAACACTATTCTTTGGGACACTTCAATTGGTCAGTGGATATCGTCTTCTCACAGCGGATCCCACATCAAAAAATCTGCTTTAGGTGGCATGCAGTTCGCTGACAAATTCATTCAAATAGCCACTCTTCTTCCTTCTCGCAACATTTTCGGCTTTGGAGAGCACATTCATCAACGATTGAGGGTTGGTTGCAGTTTGAGTTTGCTATTGACCAAATATGTTTAGATCAGCGAAGGCACGTTGCGGACATTGGTGCGATTTTCAAGCGCGATAGAAAGCATTGGTGCGAAGTGGTCAAAGAGGACCATCATGACAGGGAAAAATGCAAAAGAGGCTGTGTGAAACTCTGAATATGAGGGTTCTCTTTCCGAAGGGTGAACGTGCTGCGACAAGAAAACAGGCGCCGAACAGACGGAAGCACACGAGAGAGCGTAGTTAGAGCGAGAGCCAGCCGTCCAACGGTTAGAAGTTGCATTACTTGGTTATTTATTTATTTAGGTTTCTGTAGAGTTTAGTTACGACTAATAACTAGTTCCTTGGTATACCTCTAGACAGAAGCGAATTCCAGCTCCTTAAGACTATTTTTTGTCAAAAACCGCCTTCTAATGGAGGGCCGAGTCACTAACACGTTGACTTCAGCACGACCTTTCGCGCTACACCGTCTGGCCAATGTTTGCCAGAGATATTGGACCAGATTCGAGCAGTCCTCTCAGCACACAGAATCTCTATGGTGTGTTCATTCCATTTTACATATGTGGGTGCCGATTCTCTTCATTTAAATAGATCACTTAGCGGATTCAGCATTCATGATTTAGTGTCGGATGATGGAAAAGCTCACGGCGTTTTCATTTTCAACTCAAATGCACAGGTAATTCAGGGCGATATCAACAGCATTACGTCATTTCACAGAAGATCCCCTTTCCAGGAAGTCGTCACAGGACCTGGTCCACATTTGGTTTACCGCACAATTGGAGGTCGATTGGATTTGGCGTTCTTCCCTGGTCCAACACCTGAAGAAGTTGTCCAACAGTACTTGGCCTACGTCGGCCATCCTTTCTGCCAGCCTACTGGTCGCTTGGGTACCAGGTAAACAAGGATCTTTCCCGGCGGTAGTTCGTTTGAGCTGGGTTTATTCCACATTTAGCTTTCACGCTGGGGATACCCCAACCTGGATGACCATGAGGGGGAGACGGTGGTGGCACGAACTCAAGGCGGCTCAAGTTCCTCTGGACGTTGCTTATGCTGACATCGATTACATGGAGCGTTATAAAGACTTTACTGTGGGACCGGTGAGTTGCAGCTTCTTTTGATTAACCTCTGGTTCAAATCTGAGGTATGCTGTGGGTAAATCTCTATCCCATTAAGAACTGGGCTGGATTCGGCGCATACGTGGACGATCTGCATAACATGGGCCTTCATTCTCAGTCTGGAGGTCTTCGCTCCGCCATCTGAAGCGGATTAACGCGCAGCTTCCAAGGGCGCGGGAGCAGGTCCGCTATAAGATCTTACCGCACGTTTTCTTTTGAGAGGAGGAGCGTGCCGAATTTAGCCTTTCAGAACGCGTCATTCATCGAATGGGCAGACAAGTCGCAAGTACCTACAAGCCTGCAAAGTCAGTATCCCCTGATTGCCGATACTCTGGTGACGCTTTCTGCAGTATCCCCTGGTTGCCGATACTTTGGTGAGTTTTGGAGAAGTGGTGAATTTCTTGTCAGGACCACTAGCTATATGATTTAGATTATGCTCGGAAATGTCTGGCCGGACAATAACACAGCAATGCCCGATTTCCTTGATCCCACCTAACAAAACGCTCCAGTGGTGGATTTCCGAGTATCAGCTCTTCCACCAGAAGGTAGGTAAGGTTTCGCATATCCCAAATCAGAGACAGTGAGTGATCAGAGCCGTTGAACCTGTACAGGAAACCGTGAGGTCGGTAGTTCACCAGTTACCATATTATATCTCGTTACCACGGGGCAGATGGTGAATGGGGCCAATCGGGTTTCGGGGATGAAATCTCAGAACGACCCACTCAGGCCAACCAAGGCTTTTCATCCTGCAGGGATGATTGAATGGTGCCACAATCTGTGGCATGGCCAGTCTGTAAATGACAGACATCAACTCTTCACCGCAAGTCATTGTATGGGCCAAAACGCAGCCAAATGTCATTACGTTTCTGAATGTAAGCCAAGTACGTGGCTCATCCCGGAACGAGACCGCTCAAGGCTCAACGTCAATGCTTATAATTATTGTCAAGTATTACATCCATCGTCTTTTCTGTCAGGATAGAAGTTTCGCCATTTCTAGAGGTCCTCCTGTCAGACTCTTGTCTCTTATTCGGACTTGTTCCTGAGCTACGGGTCAAGGGTAATCCGCCCCCGTGGTCCAATACGAAACCCCGATGTGGATTCCACTAAACACTTTCTTCTCTGAGTAGTACTTTCATCTTACTTGAAGCCCTATGACTCTCCGCAAAAAACGGGAAAAAGAGAGGGGGAAGGGCATGTCACAACAGTAACAACTCCTTAGAATTGTTCTGTCCCGAAGTCTCATGTCGATCTAAATGTGTATTAAACAATGTGAGACTTCAAAATTTATTGCAAAAGACTCAAAACTTTCTACAAAAGAAATTGCAAAAATGTGTGTTTGCAAAAGTTTTGCAAAAGTTTAGGCCTTTTTTGGCGAGCTTTCGGCGCTTAGCGCCTTTGTCGAGCCTGAAATGAAAATTATAAGCTTTCTTAAAGTCTGTTAATATATTAAAATATATTAACTGACCCACCTGCTGTCCACTTTCAAAAGTGTAACACTTACCACCCTTGTCGGTCTGTGAAGCAGGAACTGTTCCCTACCCTAGACTTACCCTTAAATAGCGTTGACGTGCTACGACCGTTATTTCCCAAAATATCGCATTCATTCCACAGTGAT